CACCCCCTGCCACAGGCCTCCTGTCCTCGCTCTGGCTTCTCAGTGCCTGCGTCTCACGTCTCGAGATCGTTGCCTCCACCCACCTCAGCTACCCACTCAGGCCACACCGTAGGCCCGGCCACTTCACACTCCGAGACCCCCTCTCCAGCCACCTCCACTCTGACGTCCCACCTTCCCCGTCTGCGTCCTCTGGCCTCTCCACTCCAGTCTCTCTGACCCTGCCCCTAGCGCAGTAACACTGTGCAAACCCCACGCGGGTCCACCTTCCCCTCGCCCAGCCCAGCTCCAGGCGTCCCCGTTACGGACCTTGACCTCCTTAGTCTTCCTCTGCCCTCACCACTCCTTGGCCGCCCCACCTTACGCACCTGACAAGACTGCAGCCCTGTAAAGGGAACTCCCCTCCTGCGACTGTAACACGCACCAACGTGCCCAGGGCGTGCACGTGCAGCCCAGTGAGCCCCATACGGCCGGCCCTGAGCCCAGAGCACGGCAGTTCTGCAGGGACCCCCTTCTCCCTCTGCTCACAGTGCTGAAATCTGGGGGCGACAGTCACAGTGAAGAGGGTGAAAACCTAACGATGCTGCTGGAAGCTGGGGCCTGTGGCAGGTGACTGGGTTTATAAAGCCATCAGGATGTAACCCCACGACTGAATCCGGCGTTTATGGGGACAGAGAATGAGCCAGGCAGGTGGACACATACGGTTCCTCCTTCTCCCCGAGTGACGCCCTGCCCCGCGTTGAGACTTTGCAGAGTCCTCACGAAGGAGACCTTCACTGGGTACGCCCCTTGGTCTCAGGCCTCTGCGATGTGAGCTCGGCAAGCTCCGTAATTTACAGACTACCCAGCGTGACATGCAGTGGTGGCCACAGGAAGGCAGACTGAAAGGCTCCCCTCCCTCTCTCCCTGTCTGCCCGTCTCCTACCACTCGTCCCCACTCAGCAGGGAGGACACACTCGTTTTAACTGTGAGGGCGCGCAGTCACCAGTCAGAGAAGGAAAAGGGAAAAAGTACCTCCTGACGAGGCACGGTCACGCCACGACCCTGCGCCATCCCGTCAGGACGGGGAGCGTGCACACACACGCCTGGCATGGTTTTCAAGCTACTGGGGCGGGATTCCAACTGTGATTGGCCACGGGGGATCCAACTCTCTTAACCACCCCAAATAAAAGGAACCTCTAAAAGAAGGTATGCGACCCTGCCATTCCTCCGCTCCATCCTACCACTGGCTTCCCATGAGGAAGAATCGAATCCAAACTGCCTCTCACAGCCCCGAGACCCTGGATGATGCGGCCCTGTCGACCCTCCTGAGCCCATACCAATCCTCCCACCGCCGTCCCCCACCCAGGAAACCCAGAGTTTGTCCCCCTGCCATTCCTCCGCTCCATCCTACCACTGGCTTCCCGTGAGGCAGAATCAAACTGCCTCTCACAGCCCCGAGACCCCGGATGATGCGGCCCTGTCGACCCTCCTGAGCCCATACCAATCCTCGCCGTGTCCCTTGGCTCGCGTACCCCAACCCTTGGGCCCAGAATCACCAGGCTCGGTCCCACCTCCAGCTCCTTGTACCCGCTGACCGACTGGCTGCACAGGTGGCCCGCTTCAGCTCGCCCAGGCCTCCCCTTCCAGGCCCCTCTCTAGCCCCTCACAACTTCATTTCCTTCACTGTCCCTAAACAATGCCACTTCCGATCACAAACCTACTTACTCACACGAGAACACGCTCCACGAATATAGCAACCTTTCTGCCATTTTCCCTGCAGGCCCTGGCAAGCACCTGGCACCTGGTCGGCCTCAGAGAACGTCTGCTGAGTGGACAGCGAATGCGAGCAGGCGGGAAATCCAGACCCAGAGCCACCTGTGCCAAGCAGATGCTCCCTGACCCACCACTGCGAGCAGAGGCCCGGCGGCACAGACCTGGGCCCTGTGAGGGCGAGCCAGGGGGACAGGACTGGAAAGAGGGGCAGTCACGAAGTCAGGCAGGATTTTCTCAAGACAAGGAGCCCCAGGCCCTTCCAAGGAGCCCACCTAGCTACTCCACGCTAACCACTCCTGGGCTGGGCCCCTGCAGTTCCTTCATCTCAAAGGCCAGGACTCTGCCAAAGTCTCCTCTCACCTCCTCCCAAAGTGGAAATGGGCCCCACCCCATCATACATTCCTCTTTCTCCCACTGAGGGTGAGACAACGCCCTCAATTAAGAGGAGATTCTCCTTAACAAAAGACTTAAAAGGCTGTGACCTAAAAAGAAATGAATACTTGTTGAGCTCCTATTTAAGGATTCCTGTACTACTGACTATAATTACAATGGAGGTTGTTAACCCGCACACAGAGAGTCCCCTACAATGACCCGGCACACAGAAAGTCCCTACAAGTACCCAGTAACCCGGTACACAGAAAGTCCCCTACAATAACCCGGCACACAGAAAGTCCCCTACAAGTACTCAGTAACCTGGTACACAGAAAGTCCCCTACAATAACCCGGCACACAGAAAGTCCCCTACAAGTACTCAGTAACCTGGTACACAGAAAGTCCCCTACAATAACCCGGCACACAGAAAGTCCCCTACAA